CCTTTAATTAAATGACATCCCTCCTAACGAAGCCACCCTAATTAAGCTGCCCCAATCAAGCCACGCCCCCTTTAATTAAACCACACCCACCAGCCACACTAATTAAGCTGCCCTCGATTAAGCCCCGCCCCTTCCAACTAAGCCACGCCCCCTCTAATTAAACAACACTACTCCTAACAAACCCACTCTAATTAAGCTGCCTCAATTAAGCCACGCTCCCTTTAATCAACCACGCCCCCCACCACCCTAATTAAGCTGCCCAAATTAAGCCACACCCCTTCCAAATAAGCCACACCCCCTCTGATCAAACCCCGCCCCCAAAACCCAAGCCCCGCCCCTCCCAACTGAAGCCCCGCCCCCGGGAGGGCGTGTCCCGGCCCACCATTGGCCGACGAGCTGGAGGAGGCGGGGCCAATCCTGGATTCGCTCGCGGCACTTGGCGCCGACCAATCGCAGCTCCCGAAGCAGCTCGGGGGCGGGGCTTGTGGGAGGACACGCCCCTTCTTCTTCGGGAGGCTCCGCCCCCTTTTGGGGAGGCCACGCCCCCTTTTGAGGAGGCCACGCCCCCTCTTTGGGAAGCCCCGCCCCCCTCAGCTCGTGGCGCAGCTCGGCCGCTCGGCCCAGCAGGAGGGGGAGGGGCTAGGGGGAAAGGGGGCGGGGCCACATCAGGCCACGCCCACTCTGAGCCAGCCCCGCCCCTCGCATCACTGGGTCACGCCCATTTTTGTAGCCCCTCCCCCTCGATGTTATTTGGCCACGCCCACTTTTTTTTGCCACTCCCAGCAAGGTCTCTCTGTTGTGTCTTGGCCCCTCCCCACCCTCAAGCCCCTCCCCCAATTTCCTGTTTTGGCCACACCCTCTATTTGAGCTCCTCCCCAACCCTTTAGACCCCTCCCCTTATTCAAGCCCCTCTCCCCACCCCATTTCCAACCCTCCCCACCCTCAAGCCCCTCCCACTTTAGCCCCTCCCCCACCCCCTCCCTTGTCCCCTCCCTCTTTCAGCCCCTCCCCTTTATTTCAGCCCCTCCCTTCCCCAGACCCCTCCCTCACCCCATTCCAGCCCCTCCCCACTCCTCAGACCCTCCCCACTTCATTCCAGTCCCTCCCCCACCCCAAACCCTTCCCTTTTTGTGCCCCTCCCCCCTTAGGCCCCTCCTCGCCTCACATTCTCAGCCCCTCCCCCTCAGGCCCCTCCCCCACCTTCTCGGGGGCCAATCCGAGGCATTTCCGGAGGCTCCGGAGGGGGGCGTGGCCGGGGTGGGGGAGGGGCATTCCCAGCTCGCCCCTCCCCCCCAGGAGGCGGCGCCGTCGCTGCCCCTCCCCCTCCAGAAGGGGCGTGGCCGAGCCGGGCCCCGCCCCCGCCGCCCAACGCACCTGCCAATCACACACCGGGGGCGGGGTCAGACTGGGTTATACTGGTATGGACTGGTCTGGACTGGTTTGTACTGGCCTGCACTGGTTTGGACCAGTCATACTGGTTTGGACTGATCTGGACTGGTTCATACTGGTCTGGACTGGTTTGGACTGGTCTGCACTGGTTTGGACTGGTTTATACTGGTCTAGACTGGTCTATACTGGTCCCTACTAGTCTATACTGGTCTGAACTAGTCTATATTGGTTCATACTGGTTTATACTGGTCCCTACTGGTCCATACTGGTCTATACTGGTCCATACTGACCCATACTGGTCTATACTGGCTTTTACTGGTCCATGTTAGTCCATACTGGTCCCTACTGGTCTATACTGGTCCCTACTGGTCCATACTGGTCTATACTGATCTACTCTAGTCCCTACTGGTTTATACTGGTCTATACTGGTCCATACTGGTCTATACTAGTCTATACTGGTCCATACTGGTCTGTACTGGTCCATACTGGTCTATTCTAGTCCCTACTGGTTTATACTGGTCCATACTGGTCTATACTGGTCCATACTGGTCCCTACTGGTCCATACTGGTCTATACTGGTCCCTGCTGGTCCAAACTGGTCTATACTGGTCCCTACTGGTCTATACTGGTCCCTACTGGTCTATACTGGTCTATACTGGTCCCTACTGGTCCATACTGGTCCATACTGGTCTATACTGGTCCCTACTGGTCTATACTGGTCTATACTGGTCCCTACTGGTCCATACTGGTCCATACTGGTCTGTACTGGTCCATACTGGTCTATTCTAGTCCCTACTGGTTTATACTGGTCCATACTGGTCTGTACTGGTCCATACTGGTCTATTCTAGTCCCTACTGGTCTATACTGGTCCATACTGGTCCGTACTGGTCCATACTAGTCCATACTGGTTTATACTGGTCCATACTGGTCTATACTGGTCCAAACTGGTCTATATTGGTCCCTACTGGTCCGTACTGGCCCCTACTGATCCATACTGGTCTATACTGGTCTATACTGGTCTGTACTGGTCCATACTAGTCCATACTGGTCCCTACTGGTCCATACTGGTCCATACTGGTCCGACTCACCTGTCTATGCAGGAGGCCGAGCCGCGCTTGGCGCCCCCCGGTGGCCGCTCGGAGGAGCCGCAGGCGCCGCTGCCGACGGAGCTGGGGGGGAGGGGACCCCAAAAACCCCCCAAAATCACTCAAAATCACCCCAAAATCACCTGGGGGACCCCAAAAACCCCCAAAATCACCCCAAAATCCCCCCAAATTCCCCCCAAATCACCCAGGGACCCAAAACCTCAAAATCACCCGGGGGACCCCAAAATCACCCAAAAAATCACTCAAAATCACTCAAAAATCACCCCAAAATCACCCAGGGGACCCCAAAAATCACTCAAAATCACCCCAAAATCCCCCCAAAATCACCCGGGGACCCCAAAACACCCCAAAATCACCCACAAAATCACCTGAGGACCCCAAAACCCCAAAATCACCCCAAATCCCCCCAAAATCACCCGGGGACCCCAAAATCACCGCAAAATCACCCTCAAATCACCCCAAAATCACCCAAAATCCCCCCCAAATCACCCCAAAAATCACTCAAAATCACCCCAAAATCACCCTCAAATCACCCCAAAATCACCCAGGGGACCCCAAAACCCCCCCAAAATCACCCCAAAAATCACCCCCAAACATCACCCCAAAATCACCTAGGGGACCCCAAAATCACCCCAAATCACTCAAATTCACCCCAAAATCCCCCAAATCTCCCCAAAATCACCTGGAGGACCCTAAAGTCGTCTAGGAACCCCCACAATCACCTAAAAAATTACCCAGGGAACCCCCAAATCACCCCAAAATCACCCGGGGGGACCCCAAAATTATTTGGGAACCCCCAAATCACCCCAAAAACCACCCCAAAATCAGCCTGGAGGCCCCAAAACCCCCCAAAATCACCCAGGGAACCCCAAAATCACCCAGGGGAACCCAAAACCCTCCCAAATCACCCCAAAATTACCTGGGGAACCCCAAAATCATCCCAAAATCACCCAGGGGACCCCAAAATCACCCAGGGGAACCCAAAACCCTCCCCAATCACCCCAAAATTACCTGGGGGACCCCAAAATCATCCCAAAATCACCCAGGGGACCCCAAAACCCCCAAAACCACGCTGGGAAACCCCCAAATCCCCCAAACCGCCCCAAATCCCCTCCCAAACCCCTCACGACCCCCCCAAATTCCCCAGGACTCCCCAAATCCCCCCAAATCCCTCCAGGACCCCCAAATCCCCCAGGACCCCCAAATTCCCCCAGGACCCCCAAATCCCCCAGGACCCCCAAAATCCCCAAGAACCCCCAAATCCCCTCAGGTCCCCCAAACCCCCAAATCCCCCAACCCCCCAGACTCACCACTCTGCCCCTCCCCACGCGCAGGCGCTGCGGAGCTCCCCAGGGGGTTTGGGGGTCCCCCGACCCCCTCAGCTCCTGCACCCCCGGGACAGGGACCCCAAAAACCCCCAGCCACGCCCGGGTCAGGGCCAGCCTGGGGGGAGGGGGTCCAAGTTAGGGGGTTTGGAGGTTTGGGGGTCCTGGGGTGATTTGGGGGTCCTGGGAGGTTTAGGGGGATTTGAGGGTTCAGGAGGTTTGGGGAGATTGAGGGGTTCTGGGAGGTTTGGGGGATTTGGGAGTCCTGGGAGGATCTGAGGGTCTGGGGATTTGGGGTCCTGGGGGCTTTGGGGGATTTCAGGGGTGATTTGAGGGTCCTGGGAGGATTTGGGGGATTTGGGGGTCCTGGGGAGGTTTGGGGGGGATTTGGGGATCCTGGGGAGGTTTGGGGGGATTTGGGAGTCCTGGGGAGATTTGGGGGCTCTGGGAGGTTTGGGGGGTATTTGGGAGTCCTGAGAGTGTTTGGAGGGATTTGGGGAGTCCTGGGGGATTTGGGAGGGTTTGAGGGGTCCTGAGGGTGTTTGGGGGATTTGGGAGTCCTGGGGGGATTTGGGGGTCCTGGGAAGATTTAGGGGATTTGGGGGATCCTGGGGGTTTGGGGAGTCCTAGGGGGATTTGAGGGGTCCTGGGGGATTTGGGGGATCCTGGGGGCTTTAGGGGGATTTCAGGGGTGATTTGGGGGTCCTGGGGGGGTTTGGGGGATTTGGGGGTTCCTGGGGAGGTTTAGGGGATTTGGGGATCCTGGGGGGTTTGGGGGATTTGAGGAGTCCTGAGGGACGACTGGGGAATTTTGAGGAGTTTAGGGGGCTTGAAGGGGATTTGAGGCATTTTGGGGGGATTTTGGGATCCCAGGGTGGATTTTGGGGGTCCCAGGGTGGGATTTTGGGGTCCCAGGGTGGATTTTGGGGGTCCCAGGGTGGATTTGGGAGTCCCAGGGTGGATTTTGGGGGTCCCAGGTGGGGTTTTGGGGTCCCAGGGTGGATTTTGGGGTCCCAGAGTGGATTTTGGGGGTCCCAGGTGGGGTTTTGGGGGTCCCAGGGTGGGATTTTGGGGGTCCCAGGGTGGGATTTTGGGGGTCTCAGGGTGGGTTTTGGGGGTCCCAGGTGGATTTGGGGGTCCCAGGGTGGATTTTGGGGTCCCAAGATGGATTTTGGGGTACCTGATTTTGGGTTCCCCCCCCAGTTTGGGGAGGACCCCGTTGAGGCTCCTCTGGAGGTGCTGGAGGTGGGAAATGAGGGGGGGCAACGACCCCCAAATCCCCCCCACGGCCCCCCAACAGTCCTGGGGAGGGGAGGGGAGGGCTCAGGGACCCCCCAAAATTAGGGCAGGTCCCCAAATCCCCCTAAAATCACCCCAAAATCCACCCAAATCCCCTCAAAATTCACCCAAATCACCCCAAAATCCACCCCAATCCCCCAAAAATTCACCCAAATCTCCTTAAAATTCACTCAAATACCTTAAAATTCACCCAAATTTCCTTAAAATCCACCCAAAATCAAATAAAATTCACTAAAATCTTCTTAAAATCCACCCAAGTCCCTTCAAAACCGACACAAATTCCCTTAAAATCCACCCAAAGTTCCTTAAAATCCACCCAGGACCCCCAAAAATCCACCCCAGACCCTCTAAAATCCCTTAAAATCCACCCAGGGGTTCCAAAATTCCTTAAAATCCACTCAGGACCCCCAAAAATCCCTTAAAATCCACCCAAGATCTACCAAAACCCCCCCAAGACCCCCCAAAATCCACCCAGGGCCCCCCAAAATCCCTTAAAATCCACCCAGGACCCCTCAAAATCCTTCCTGGACCCCCCAAAATCTCCCCTGGGCTCCCAAAATTCCCCAGACCCCAGAAATGCCCCCATGGACCCCCAAATAACTTTTAATCCCCACAAGACCCCCCAAAACCCACCCAAGACCCCAGAATCCACCCAGGACCCCCAAAATCCACCCAGGACCCCCAAAATCCCTTAAAATTCACCCAAGATCCACCAAACCCCCAAAACCCCTGAAATCCACCCAGGACCCCCAAAATCCTCTTCCGGACCCTCAAAAATTCTTCCAGACCCCCAAAATCCCTCAGACCCCCCAAAATCCTCTCAGACCCCCCAAAATCCCCTCAGACCCCCAAAATCCCCTCAGACCCCCAAAATCCTCTCAGACCCCCCAAAATCCCCTCAGACCCCCCCAAAATCCTCTCAGAACCCCCCAAAATCCCCTCAGAACCCCTCAAAATCCCTCAGACCCCCCAAAATCCTCTCAGACCCCTCCAAAATCCCCTCAGAACCCCCCAAAATCCCCTCAGACACCCCCAAATCCTCTCAGACCCCCCCAAAACGCTCACCTGGATGAGCTGGGTCACGGTGGGTGGGGCCTCAGCTGAGGGGGCGGGGCTTGACATCAGCAACCTGCAATGGGGGACCCCAAATTCACCCCAAAATCAGCCCCAAATCCCACTTGAATTCACCCAAAAACCAGCCCCAAATCTCACTTGAATTCACCTGAATATGAGCTCCAAATCCTGCCCAAATTCACCCAAAAATCAGCCCCAAATCCCACCCAAATTCCTCCAAAAATGAGCTCCAAATCCCACCCAAATTCACCCAGAAATCAGCCCCAAATCCCCCCAAAATCAGCCCCTAATCCCACCCAAACTGACCCCCAAATCCCACACAAATCCACCCAAAAATCAGCCCCAAATCCCACCCACATTGACCCAAAAATGCACCCCAAAATCTGACCAGATTGCCCAAAAGTGAGCCCAAAATTCACCCCAAATGCCCCCCAAATTCACCCAAAAATCAGCCCCAAATCCCACCCAAATTCACCCCAAAATCAGCCCCAAATTCATCCCAAAGTCACCCAAAAATTAGCCCAAAATCCATCTAAAGTCACCCAAAACCCAGCCCCAAATCCCACCCAAATTCACCCCAAAATCAGCCCCAAATCCCCCCCAAATTCACCCAAAAATCAGCCCCAAATCCCACGCAAATCCCACCCAAAAATCAGCCCCAAATCCCCCCCAAACCCACCCAAAACTGACCCCCAAATCCCCCCAAATCCACCCAAAAATCAGCCCCAAATCCCCCCCAAATTCACCCCAAAATCAGCCTCAAATCCCACCCAAAGCCACCCAAAAATGAGCCCCAAATCCCCCCAAATTCACCCCAAAATCAGCCCCAAATCCCGCCCTGTTCCTCTTGGCTCCACCCCCAGCTGGGAAGCCCCTCCCCCTGCTGTCAATTGGCCACACCCCCTTAAGCCCCATCCCTAAAAGCATTGACCACACCCATTTAAGCCACACCCCCAATTAAGCCCCTCCCACAAACCCCACCCCATTCCTTGGCCACACCCCCTCATTTAGGCCCCACCCCAATAACCACACTCCTATTAAGCCCCTCCCACAAACCCCACCCCCAAATCCTTGGCCACACCCACTCCCTTAAGCCCCACCCCCAATGACCACACCCCAATTAAGCCCCACTCCCCAAATCCTTGGCCACACCCCTCCCTTAAGCTCTCCACCCCAAGGGCCACACCCCAAATAAGCCCCACCCCAAATCCTTGGCCACACCCCTCCCTTAAGCCCCACCCCAAGGGCCACACCCCAAATAAGCCCCACCCCCAAATCCTTGGCCACACCCACTCCCTTAAGCTCCCACCCCCAATGGCCACACCCCAAATAAGCCCCACCCCCAAATCCTTGGCCACACCCACTCCCTTAAGCCCCACCCCCAAATCCTTGGCCACACCCTCTCATTTAAGCCCCACCCCAATGGCCACACCCCAATTAAGCCCCATCCCCAAGTCCTTGGCCACACCCCCTCATTTAAGCCACACCCCTGATGACCACACCGATTAAGCCCTCCCACAAACCCCACCCCCATTCCTTGGCCACACCCCCTCATTTAAGCCACACCCCAATGACCACACCCTAATTAGGCCCCACCTCCCAAACCCCACCCTCACATCCTTGGCCATACCCCCAATTAAGCCCCTCCCACAAACCCCACCCCCAAATCCTTGGCCACACCCCTCATTTAAGCCCCACCCCAATGACCACACCCTAATTAGGCCCCACCTCCCAAACCCCACTCCTCACATCCTTGGCCATACCCCCAATTAAGCCCCTCCCACAAACCCCACCCCCAAATCCTTGGCCACACCCCCTCATTTAAGCCACACCCCCAATCAAGCCACTCCCACAAACTCCTCCCTCATTCCTTGGCCACACCCCCTCATTTAAGCCACACCCCCAATTAAGCCCCTCCCACAATCCCCACCCCCAAATCCTTGGCCACACCCCCTCATTTAAGCCCCACCCCAATGACCACACCCCAATTAAGCCCCACCCCCAAATCTGTGGCCACACCACCTCCCTTAAGCCCCACCCCCAATGACCACACCCCATTTAAGCCCCTCCCACAAACCCAACTCCCAAATCCTTGGCCACACCCCCTCATTTAAGCCACACCCCCAATGGCCACACCCCAAATAAGCCCCACCCCCAAATCCTTGGCCACACCCACTCACCTAAGCCCCACCCCCAATAACCACACCCCAATCAAGCCACTCCCACAAACCCCACCCCCAAATCCTTGGCCACACCCCTCATTTGCCACACCCCCAATTAAGCCCCTCCCACAAACCCCACTCCCAAATCCTGGCCACACCCCTCATTTAAGCCCCACCCCCAATGGCCACACCCCAACTAAGCCCCCACTCCCAAATCCTTGGCCACACCCCCTCATTTAAACCCCACCCCCAAATAATTGGCCACACCCCTCATTTAAGCCCCACTCCTCCCAAGCCACGCCCCCTCCGTGAGGCCCCGCCCACCTGGTGCTGTGATTGGCCAGCAGCTCCAGCGCCCCCAGGAATAACCACCCAGGCCACGCCCCCTCCGCGAGGCCCCGCCCACCTGGTGCTGTGATTGGCCAGCAGCTCCACCCCCTCCCAGGAATAACCACCCAAGCCACGCCCCCTCCACGAGGCCCCGCCCACCTGGTGCTGTGATTGGCCAGCAGCTCCAGCGCCCCCAGGACGGCCCCGGGGCGGTGCCGCCTCAGCTCGGCCTGCGGGGGGCGCTGAGCGTCATGGGCGGGGCCAGAGCGGGGACACGCCCACCCCGGTCATGGGACACGCCCACCGAGGGGAACGGCCCCCAATCCCACCCGAATCACCCAAAATCAGCCCCAAATCCCACCCAAATTCACCCAAAATGAGCCCCAAATTCACCCCAAATCAGCCCCAAATCCCACCCAAAAATCAGCCCCAAATTCACCCAAAATCAGCCCCAAATCCCACCCAAAAATCAGCCCCAAATCCCACCCAAATTCAGCCCCAAATTCCACCCAAAATCAGCCCCAAATCCCACCCAAATTCACCCAAAAGTCAGCCCCAAATTCACCCAAAAATGAGCCCCAAATCCCACCCGAATTCACCCCAAAATCAGTTCCAAATTCATCCCAAATTCACCCAAAAATCAGCCCCAAATCCCCCCGAAAATGAGCCCCAAATCCCACTCAAATTCACCCAAAAGTCAGCTCCAAATTCATCCCAAATTCACCCAAAAATGAGTTCAAATTTAACCCAAAATGAACCCCAAATCCCACCCAAATTCACCCCAAAATCAGCCCCAAATCCCACCCAAATTCACCCAAAAATCAGCCCCAAATCCCACCCAAATCTAGCCAAAAATTAGCCCCAAATCCCACCCAAATTCACCCAAAAATCAGCCCCAAATCCCATCCAAACTGACCCAAAAATGAGCCCCAAATCCCACCCAAATCCACCCCAAATTGACCCCCAACCACCCCAAATTCACCCTAACCCGCCAGGCCACGCCCACCACCCAAGCCCCGCCCACCTCGGCCTTTTCCCGCCAATCCTCGTCGCGTTCCTGGGAATCCCTGGGGGGATTGATTGACAGGTCAGACAAATTAGGGGTGATTGACAGGTCAGAGGTGATTAATTAACAGTTCAGGGGTGATTGATTGACAGCTCACAGGTGATTGATTGACAGCTCAGGAAAATTGATTAACAGCTCAGGGTGATTGATTGACAACTCAGGGATGATTGATTGACAGTTCAGGGTGATTGATTGACAACTCAGGGATGATTGATTGACAGTTCAGGGTGATTGATTGACAGCTCTGGATGACTGACTGACAGCTCAAAGGCAACTGATTGACAGCCCAGGGGTGATTGATTGACACATCAGAGGTGATTGATTGACAACTCAAGGTGATAGATTGACAGCTCAGGGGCGATTGATTGACAGATCAGAGACGATTGATTAACAGTTCAGGAGTGATTGATTGACAGATTAGAGGTGACTGATTGACAGCTCAGGGGTGATTAATTGGCAGTTCAGGAGCGATTGATTGACAGCTCAAGGGGGATTGATTGACAGGTCAAGGTGATTGATAGCTCAGAGCTGATTGACAGCTCAGGGGTGATTGACAGATTAGAGATGATTGACAACTCAAGATGATGGATTGACACCTCAGGAGTGATTGATTGACACCTCAAGGGTGATTGATTGGCAGCACAGGGGTGATTGACAGCTCAGGGGTGATTGATTGACAAGTCAGAGTGATTGATTGACAGACCAGGGGTGATTGATTAACATCTCAGGGGTGATTGATTGACAGGTTAGAGGTGATTGATTGACAGGTTAGAGGTGATTGACAGCTCAGGGTAATTGATTGACAGCTCAGGGTGATTGATTGACAAATTAGGGGTGATTGATTAACATCTCAGGGGTGATTGACTGACAGCTTAGGGGTGATTGACAGCTCAGGGGTGATGGATTGACAGGTAATGGGTGATTGACAGCTCAGGGGTGATTGATTGACAGCCGGGTGGGCGTGGCCAGGCATAGGGGGTGTGTCTTACCCCTCCAGTGGGCGTGGCTCCAAAAAGTCCTCCCCCCCCTTGCTCTGGCAAAGCCTCCTCACGGAGCTCTGGGGAGGGGGCGGGGCCTGTCAGGGAGGCCACGCCCACCCCACTCAGGCCACGCCCACCCCAGGCCACGCCCCCAAAACTCACCAGCACCTCTGGCTCCGCCCCCAAGGCCACGGCGGCCAAAAGCTCCGCCCTCGTTGGGTGGGGCCTGCGGGGAGGACACGCCCACTTTGGGATGGCCACGCCCACTTCAGGATGGCCACGCCCACACCAAACCCCACCCCCTGTCGCCCAAAGCCACGCCCATCACAGGAAGCTCCACCCCCTTCCAAGAAGCCCCGCCCACCCCCTCAGTGTCGTTTTGTGGAAGCTCCACCCACTTCTCAAGCCCCACCCACTTTCTGAAGCTCCACCCCTTAAAGGCCACACCCACCAGGACAAGCTCCACCCACTCTCCAAGCCCCACCCACTCCCAGTTAAGCCCCACCCCTACACAAAGCCCCACCCCTTTGCAGGCCCCACCCACCTCCTGGAAGCCACACCCACCACAAATTAGCCCCACCCACTCCCATTTAAGCCCCACCCACCTCCAGCAAGCCACACCCACTCCATTAAGCCCCACCTACCTCCAGTAGCCCCACCCACTGTTCATTTAAGCCCCACCCTCTTCCACTGAAGCCCCACCCACCTCCAGGAAGCCACACCCACCCCCATTAGCCCTGCCTGCTCCAATTAAGCCCCCACCCTCTCCCTCAGCCACACCCCCTTCAAAGCCCCACCCACCACCATTAGCTCCACCTACTCCTCACATAAGCCCCACCCTTCCCAGGCCCCACCCACCTCCAGGAAGCCCCACCCACCTCATTAGCCCCACCCAATCCCATTAGCTCCACCCCTCTTCATTTAAGCCACACCTTCTTCCCCAAAGCCCCACCTACCTCCAGGATGCCACACCCACCACTTTTAGTCCCACCCACTCCCATTTAAGCCCCACCCCTTCCCCAAGCACCACCCACCCTCATTAGCCCCTCCCACCTCCAGGAAGCCACACCCACCACCATTAACTCCACCCACTGCCATTTAAGCCCCTCCCACCTCCATTAGCCCCACCCACTCCCCATTTAAGCCTCTCCCACTCCCAGGAAGCCCACACCCACACTCACTAGCCCCACCTACTCCTATTTAAGCCCCTCCCACCACCATTAACCCCACCCACTGCCATTTAAGCCCCTCCCACCTCCAGGAAGCCACACCTACTCCATTGAAGCCCCTCCCATCTCCGGGAAGCCACACCCACTCCATCAAAGCCCCTCCCACCACCATTAGCCCCACCCACTCACACATAAGCCCCTCCCACCCCTGGAAGCCCCGCCCCCTGACCTGTGGGGGGGTGCAGAGAGCGCCCCCTGCAGGCTCCGCAGCCCCTCCGGCCCAGGCTCCGCCCCCAGCAGCCGAAGCTCCGCCCCCCGCTGAAGCTCCGCCCACCAGCGGCTCTGCCCCGCCCTCAACGACTCCTCTGGGGGGGAAAGGGGGGAAAAAGGGGGGTCAGGGACCCAAAAATGGGACAAAAGACCCCAAAAATGGGTCAGGGAGCACAAAAATGGGGTCAGGGAGTCAAAAAATGAGGTTAGGGACCCAAAAAATGGGGTCAGGGATCCAAAAATGGGGTCAG